TCTTGACGCGGGAGGTGATGCCGACGTTGGGGTCGAGGATGAAGCGCCAAATGACATAGGTCCAGCTCTCGTGGCGGGGCAGCTCGTCGTAGAACTCGCTGGCGATGGCGCGGAGCTTGGGCAGGCGGGTCCAGGGGACGGCGGGGAAGTCGTGGTGCTCGTTGTGCAGGCCGACGTTGTAGGTCAAGAAGTTGAGGGGGCCGTAGTAGGAGAAGGTCTCGGGGACGGGGATGTTGTTGGCGGCGTCGCGCTGGGCGGGGGTGACGGTCTCGTAGACGTAGTGCTCCGCGATGAAGTGGCCGGCGAGCGGGTGGAGGGAGCCGGCGAGGAAGGAGGAGAGGAGGAAGTAGAGGATGGTGTTGAAGCCAAAGGCCGAGTAAAGGGCGTAGTCGAAGGCGAGCTGGACGGCGATGTTGAGGTAGTGGACCCAGGTGAAGGGGACGCTGTAGACGAGGGTCGGGCGGACGGCGTAAAAGAAGATTTGGAAGGTGCAGAAGAAGGCCTTGCCGAGGATGGAGTCGAAGAAGACGACTTCGAGGGCGGTGGGGAGGTCGGTGTCGAGGCCGTCGACGCCGAGGGACTTGTGGTGCGTCAGGTGGTAGGGCTGGAGGGTATGAATGTCAGTGATTGTCCTTCTTCGTTCTTCTTCTTGAACAATGGAGGCTTTCAGAGACTTACACGGAAGGAAGCGCTGTAGGGCACGCCAATGGGCAGGTTGGCAAAGATGGCGAACAGGCGGTTGGCGAGCGGGGAGCGGAAGGCGAGGTTGTGGGAGATTTCGTGGATGGCGAGGAAGAGGTTCTGGTTGGCGGTGGCGCCGAAGACGTAGCCGACGAGCCAGAACTTCCAGGAGAAGAAGGAGGTGTCGCGGAGGTACCAGGCCCAGAAGATTTGCATGGCGACGACGCCGGCGACGACGTACTTTGTCAGTGGCTCCGGCCCGCAGAGCTTGGTGACCTGGTGATGCGGTTGTTAGCCATTGAGCATTTTACAGAGGAGATATTGGCCACTGTTATAGAGCATTGCGGTTTGTAGAGTGGGAGAAAGGAGACATGTGGAAGGTTGTGTCGTTTGGTGAAAGGACATACCTCAGGGTGAGCCTTGATGATGGCCAGTCGGCGAGTTCGGTGCGGTTCCTCGGTGTAGGTCCAGAAGAAGTCCTTCTCTTTGGGGGTCTCGGTCGGCGCATCGGTCGTCAGCTTACCGGCGGCGACGCCATCGGGCGCGGCGGCGGACTTGCGCTTGGACGGCTGCGTCACGGTCGAGGCAGCGGACGAAGCCATTGTGCTGCGGTGTCTGAGGGTGGTGGTGGTGGTGGTGCTTGTTCGTGGGTGTCGTGTTGAGGTGTGGCGCGCGCGAACAGTTGTATCGAAGAGAAAAAAAAAGGCCAATATCGATCTGTCCTGACCGACAGAGAGATAGAGGGGAGGGGCGAAAAGAGAACGAGTGTCGAATCACCGGCTCTGGGACATTTAATTTATAAAAAAAAAATGTCAAGGTCTCGAGGAGAAAGAGGTTGTCCGTGAAGAAACGAGAGTTTTCCACCGAGCGCACTTGTCAATGAGGAAAAAGAGACGAAAACAAAAAGTCTTATGTGTTTCCCCCTTTGCGCAACAGGAAATGGAGTGTTGGTGGGAGAAAGATCATGCCTCGAAAATGGCAAATCTCCTGATGGCGGGCTGTTAGAAGTTAGGGGTATGGAGAGGTACCTGGGCCCTGGGCGCTGGGGGCGTGTTCCGAAGCGGTCAAGCGGTGTAACAAGGTCGCCTCTCCAGGTACCGCATTTCTGCTTTCTGCTCTCTGCTTTCCATCTGTTCTCTCAGGTTTCTGCAACTTGAGGTGTGGCGCAGTGGATAGCAGTGGGGGTGGATGCTGGAATGAAAATGGAAGGGCTCAAGGGGTCCCCTTCCCTTGCCCCGCTGTGGCCAATCGTTCGGAACATGTGGTTTACGGTTTCTGGCTGCATCTCCCACCTATCCATACTCCCTCACCTGTCTGGATTACCTACTCGGTAAAGATAGGCTTTGGCAAAGCTCTCTCCAGCTGGCCGGGATGAGCAAGGGATTGCTGAAATTTTCTCTGGTTTTTTTCTTGGGACGTTGTTGGGGGCCCTTGGGGGAGATTTGGGGAAATCCAAATCCTCCATTGAATCCCCACACACCACACTTCTTCCCCTTCCCCTTCCCCTCCACTCAAGCCTCAGGGTAAGATGGCCCCTGTCAAGCTTGTGCTTGGTTGCGCATCTCGACTTTTTCCATGCCGTGCAACCATCCAAGCTTAGTTGATCCGTAGATCAACGATGATGGCCATGCTCCATCTCGCAAGTTTTCGAGGTACCACGAAGCTGTAAGTTGCGTTTTCGTCGCCTACGAGAAGCCAATGGCGACGATATGGCAGTGCATCACTTGACCAGCTTCTTTCTTTGTGTACCTATTCGTACACCCATTCTGTCGTGTCGAGTCTTCGACAGCTTTGATGCCGTGATAAGATGGGATCAACCATGCACTCACCTTTCGCTCTGTACCTTGCGTGGTCTTATCCCGTCAGGTACAGATATCTCACGTTACACACCCGATGCATCCGCGCAATGCGTGTTTTCTGCGTGCTCCATGAGCAAAGAGCACGAATGAAGAACATCGCCTCCCGCCTGGTTGTCCAAAGTCAAGACTCGAGACAGAGGTCCGTGGTGTATGGCAAAGGGACGGAGGCTTTATGCCGAAGCGAACCCCACGTTTTCTTCTTTTTTTTCTCCGTGCCAACTTAATCGGACAGGATTGCCGCGGGCCGTCAGAGACATAGTGCTCTTATATGGTGGCATCGTTACATTGGCGCACTAGATTGGCTCGTTCAACGTGCCGTCCTTGCTCCTTTTCATTTACCCGTCATATACAAACTGCCGTATAGCCATAAATTTCTGCTCATCGAGCAGGTCTTCGGAGGGAGATGGACCGCAAGAGGGGTTGTAACGGTTGAACATAAGAAGCACTTAACAGAAGGGAACTTGGCATCATGACAGTTTTGGCACTCGAAATCTTGACGTCTCGGTGATCAGCCTCTGCAAAATCGCAAATCCTCAAAAAGCATCATCTAGAATCCAAAGAGCAACGTTTCAAAAGCCAAAAACATGCGCTTCGTCCTACTCGCCACGTCCCTGGCATCCCTCACCGGCATCGTTCTCGCCAAGCCAGAGAAGATCAGGGGCGTGACCGATCCCGTCTACCACCTGTACCTCCAAGCCTACTCAAAAGACAAGTCGATCCCCGTTCTGGGGCCTGAGGCGTCGGCAGAATTCTTCAATATTGCGGGAACCATCCAGAGCGCCAACTCGAGCTCGTATCTCAACATTGGCGGCGATGCTACGTCGTACAAGACTCTTTCGTTGAGCAACGCCTCCGGCACCAGCGCGTGGGGGCTCGAGGGTGATACTATCATCACTACCCAGAGTAGTAGCTGGGGACGACGTATGTAGTTCCCTCGTTCACCACGGAGATTCAAACTGGACATAGATGATACCTACTAACACCTGACAGAGCTGAATTTCTTGGTGTGTCAGCTGGATACAAGCTATTGGCAACTCTATCTGCAGACCGGAAGTGATGTGCCAACTGGCAGGAACTGCAGCAATTATCAGACCATCCATCTGCCTTGCCTCTGCTAGAAAGCCTTGATCTGACATCGGCTTTTGTGGCACAGAGAAGGAAGTCTGGGTAGACGATGTCTGGCTACGTTGCATGTAGATAATAGATAGTCGTCAAAACTAGAGTCACACGAGCTGCTTTAGGCATGGATGATCACACAAGGGACTAGCGATTGAAGAAACAATGCTCACGAAGCACGCGTCTTTGTGTGACCAACAATGCTTGGTTTCATGGCCCGGCACAATGGAGAATGTATCTCGCCGCGATCGGCGGCGTAAGGGTCGAGAGCCAAGCAGTCAAGTCTGCTACCTAAGTATCATCATCAGCTACTCGGAATAAGAACTGGTCTAAACTTACTAGGTCTGCCTTCAATATTATTCGACATTCTAGGCACCAAACCCTTCTTGGCGATACAATAACTAGCCTTGGCATGTTGTCGTTCATAGTAAACCCTAAGAAGGCAATGGGGAAATGTAATATTGAATTCAACTCAAGTTGCATCTAAGTCCAAAGAACGCCTGTTCGATGGTTCGCTGTATTTCAGAGGCGAAGGGCTCGAATGAATACAGGCAGTTGATTCAAGAGAAACATCAAGGTAAAACTTGGGTTGTAACTATGATCATTTGCGCAGCAAGTCCAACCATAGTCTTGTCGACTGAGCTGGATTGAGAGTGCGTTGCCCACTGCCTGCTCACTGTTGTATCGAGAACCCCGCTTTGAGGCACGGCAAGATAAGATGAACCAAGACCAAAAGGCCTGGCAAGCTTCAGGTAGACATGTTAAGTTGACGCTGAAGGATGAAAATGGTCTTCAAAACGTTCGTGTGACTTGCAGTAGCTTCTGCACATCATGATGACCAGTTGAGAGAGGTTGAGGTAGAGACATTGGTACCATGGCTTTGAAGGAGGGGTTCCCGTGATTGGCTGTCACATGCAGATAAGTCGAGCTCACAAGTTCAGGTTTTGGCAGATGGAGACAGAAGCAAAAGGGACCAGGGCAGGGATGGCACCAGAGGGGGCTAGAATGGCACCAGCACCTCCCCAAGTGGAGGCCGGCCGTTTAGCTGCAGAGCGCCTCTGCAACGCTGCAATAATACGGTTAATTCCAAGAACTTGTCAGCTTGTCAGGCCCTGGGTCCTCTCGTCGGATCCTGCTGGGATTCCAAGGCTCGGGGAAAGATGGGATGGGACGGACTGGACCTGCGTAGCTACCTTAACCTACCTTGAGGGCTGAGTACGTCTGCGCGATAGGGGCACGCGACCTGAGAGACACCCACTGATGAATTAACTTGTGATTTTTAGTGTGTTCCATGTGGTGACGGCTGGTTCCTCTGCTCAACTCTTTGTGCATGTGAGGTGTTGCATGCAGTCTGTGGCCTTATGTCTTGCAGATCATGATGTCTCATTTCTGCCTGCCACAGCAAGTAGAAATGCAACGCCGTCACGGTTTTCTTCTCTTTATTGCAACCAAGGTCGGAGAGAAACAGAATTAAACAGGATTAAATAGAGAACCAGAGATGAGAAGGGGAAGCTTGGGCCTTGTCACATCATCCTACGAGCTGCAGCTTCACCGCTCATAAGGTAGGCTTAAAGTGCTTAAGGTACCTAAGGTACGGTACCTAAGTAGAGATGGCATCTTAGCAGGTAACGCCACGTGAAGATAAGGAGGTAGGCGAGCAGAACCGCCTTTAACGATAAGCCCAAGCTCCCACTTGCGGTCCGCTTCCTGCCACCTCGCCCAAAAATCTACCGGCAGGTTGGCACATTCTGCTTCTATCACCCAGCTTTCTTTCCCGACCGCCGGACTTTGCACCGACTTCGCACCTCCTCTGCTTTGAGTTGTCTGCATGCCATATTTCGCAACAGCATCCGTCGATATCCTCTGAATACCTTACTCCTGCCGAGTTCCTGCCATCGACCAGCGAGACGAGACGATCCAACTTTGCTCTGATATTATACAAACACCATCTACGGTCCCCTCACCGTCTCGCGTGCTCCCCACCACCAAACTTAGCTCGGCCCTCTCCAAGTTTGCGACGACATTTACGAGCGCCTCTCTTTGTCGCTTCCCTCGACCGTTCGCGACCACGCCGACCTGTCGTCCAAAGTGGCCGGTCATCGCCAGAAACATACCCCTTTGTCGGCGCGGCTCCAGCAAGCCAGCTCGTCGCGCCGATGTGGTGGTTCCTCCGAATCGTCGCCAGTGCCATCTTCCTGCTGAGCATAGTCCTCTCCATACCTGTCGCCTTTGATGTCGGCGGTAGGGACAGTGGACTGGCCTACAGTCTTGCCCTCTCCGCCTTCTACTTTGTCTACTCGACCATCGCCGTCGTCACCCCCGCAAAGTCGCGCGTTCGCTGGGCCATATCCGTCATCCTTCGCCTCTCCCAGTGGGTTGTCATTCCCGGACTTTTGATCTGGGCCCTCAGCCGCTTCGCCGTCGACGCTGGAGCTACCAACTGGGTGGAGCGGACACTGCAAGGCATCACCACTTCCAAGTCGACGTCATGGGGCGAATGGGTATTTGGCGAGGGTGGTGTTATTGAGACCATAACCTTGGGCGGTTGGGATAAGACGTTGAGGTACTCAAGTCCCGTTTTCCAGCTTCTCGAGGGATTCTGCACGCTCCTTGTCATTCAAGCTGCCGGACAGATCACCAAATGGCTCGTCAACAGAGGACGAAGCGACACTTGGATTGTACGTGGAACCCCTCTCCTGTGCCCCCGACTCTGTGAGACCCAAGCCCGTTCACGGACAGCCTGGCCGTGTCCTAGTCTCACACATCCGGATCGCATACTTTGACTTTTTGCGAGACTTACTGATGGCTTTGACAGATTATCCTGCTCGTTATCTCTGGCAGCGTGCTTGCGAGCGCCGTTTACTTTCTCTGGCGTGTCGCCCACTTCCCTTGGATTGACAACTCGGATGCTATCTTGATCGGTGTCACCATGACTTCAGCCTTCTTCCTGGGCGCGTATGGAATTGGCAGCGGGCGCGGCAACCCTATCGAGTCGTCCCTGCTTTTCGCATACGTCGTCCTCTGCGTCTACCAGATCTTCACCGATTACCTCCCCTCGGAGTCCACCGAGGCGGATCAACACCAGTCCTCACAGCCCGACTTCCCACCCTTGCCTCCGATTATCATGGCGTCTTACTCGACTCTGCTCCACATGCTCGGCTCCCTTCCCCATGCCGTCCACTCGTCTCTCAGTCTTCTCTACGCGGCGTTCCAGACCATTACGCCTTCTGTCATCATTTCGCTCGCCTTCCGACTTCTTGTCTTTTACTGCGCTACACGCATTATTCCTGCCGTCCGTGAATCGGGAGCCAGGGCTCTCATGGAGGAACCGACTCTGGAAGAATCAGACGCTGCCAACTGGCTCCTTGGGATTATCACCTACTTCTCGCCTTCGATTCTCATTGCCATGTACACAAGCTTGCTTCTGCAACACTTCTCAACAAACGATGGGCCAGATGGATGGACGCTGAGAGGAGGCGACCCCGGCGGCAACGTCTGGCGCTGGACGAACGTAGCAGCAACAATGACCCTGTACGCAATTGAGTTGTACTTGGGTAACGAGGATCACGATGGTGGTCTGACAAATCACTGGAAGATGGATTGAGAGCGAGGTTATTAACACTTGCGGAACAATTCGACAACATCTGCTTCTCGATGACATGGGGGCTTACTCCATGTTATCAGGATTTAATGAGTGCAGTCTGCCTAGGCAGGTTAACAATAAAACTGATCGATCAACGTACATAGGTCGTAATGACACACGGGCTAAGGGCACGGAAAGGGGATAGGACAGGCACAGAAATACGGCGTTTAAGGGGTGGAAGTCTGCATGCTCGAACGGCGATTCTTTTACTTACGGACTCGGCTGAATAGCCAAAGGGAATTTTGACGATTATTGCTTGAGAGCACTGCCGGTGCCTGGGCTTTTCCAAACTACCCACATTAGGAAACTCATCTTTAAAATCGATGGTCTTGGAAATATGTCCATTGTTGGTGACCTGCGCCTGATGGTTCCTGATGCAAGTTAAGTCTCTACATGATCAGAGTTGAGGCCCGGACGGGCTGCAGGCCGCTGGGCCATAACCACCGGGCGCATCCACTTTGACGTTGCGCTCGCTCCGTTGCGACTCCGTCTTTTCTGGGGCCTCGGCAACTCCAACCTCACCTCCTCTCTCTCACTTACACCTCTCCATCCCACACAACCTCCACTTCTCTCGGTGGTCTCTCAACGTCGTTTTCTCTTTGGAGATATCCGGTTCCATAACATTATACTTATCCCATTTCAAAGTTGACTCGGCACACTGCTGTAGGTAACGGCAAACGTCGTTGCATCCCCCCAACAGTAGCCATGGCAGCAACGCACAACCCGATGCGGGCGTCCACCCCGCCGCCCGCCGTCTCCAGGACGACGATCCACATGTCTGGCCTCTTATGCGACGTCTACGGTCTCGAGGAGCTCGTCGCGCGCGAGAAGCGGCCGTCGGCGGCGTCGTGTCTGTGGCTTCATCACCCGCGGTTGCGGGCCAAGGAGGATATGGAGGATATCGCGAGCCGTGTGATTTCCCGGTGGGAGGAGAAGTCTTCTTCTTCGTCGTCATCTTCTGTGTCTGGCGGCGGCAGAGCCCTCATCGCCGTGGCGTTTGATCAGCAGAACCACGGCACCAGGACGGCGTCGGCGACGGCGAGGGATAGCTGGCGCGAGGGGAACAAGACGCACGCGCTGGACATGTGGGGGATGGTTTCGGGTATGGTGGCGGATACCAAGGGGCTTCTGGACGTCGTGGAGGGGTACGTGAAGATGGAGCTGGGACAGAGGGATGGGAAGGCGGCGGAGGGTTGGGAGATTGATCAGCATCTCGTGCTCGGGGTGAGTTTGGGCGGGCATAGTGCGTGGCAGACTATGTTTAGGGAGGAGAGGGTTGAGGCTGGGGTTGTGATTATTGGGTGTCCTGATTATATGGGTGAGTCTTTTCTTCTTCTTCTTCTTCGTCTTTCTCTTCCTGGGGATGGGGAGATACGTTGTTTTGAGAGGTGAGTGGTGAGAAGGGAAGAAACCGGGCTGATTCGATGTGATGGAAAACAAACAGCTCTCTTGTCGGACCGGGCAAGGTTATCCAAGCTGGCAACCTTTTCCGCGCAAGACAACGGCGCCTCGTTCCTGGGTAGCAGAGACTTCCCGCCCGACCTCGTGGCCTCTTGTCTGCGCCACGATCCGAAGGGCATCCTCTTTGGCACCGGTGCCGTTCCCGCCCCGGACAGTCTCACCACCGAAGACAATGCCGAAGAGCAGAAGCGTCTCCGCGGCGTCCTGGACGGCCTACGCCTGCACGGTAAGAAATTCCTGGTCTGCTCCGGCGGCGAGGATAAGCTCGTCCCATACGCCATGTCTGCGCCGTTTTTGGAGTTCTTGACGGCTGTGACGGGGACGTGGTACCGTGATGGTGGGGTTGAGGTCGAGAATAAGGTGTACGAGGGGGTCGGGCACGCATTTAGCGAGGGGATGGTGGAGGATTCGGTCAGGTTTTTGGTTGATGCTGTTGCTGGGAAGGATGCCGGCGGCGTGGGGGCTGAGGCTGGTGAGAAGTCGAAGATTTGAGGCACTGGCAGCAGAGTAATGCTTAACAGAGGGGGTGGTCAAGGAGGTTGAAGACAAGGGTTGAATATGTATACACGTATATAACTGTGTCTGTATACCTAGGTATCTTCTAAGCCCACGGCCTCTTTGCATCTTCCACGAGTGCCTCGTGCCCGTCTATGATCCTAGTGACGAGACCACTCTGTCTCCTCTCCTCCTCGCTCGCGAAAAGGGTATCTTCCAAACCCCACGGATTCCTCGCTCTCCTCTTGCCCGCTAAACTCAGGCCCACGCCGTGCGGGTCAACCGTCCACTCGTCCGCGGCGTGCTTTACGCCCGCGATGGCTCCTGCTTTGAAACCATTACCAACACCGTCGTTGCCGTCGTCCTCTCCATTGGTCTCCGCCTCGGGGGCGCCGGTTGTGGTGATCGAGGCAGCACCAGCACCAGCACCAGCTCCCTTCATCCCGGGCGGATCGATCCCGACATACCTCACCCGATCCAAGGGAAACCCTATAGCAGCGCAGTGGCCGTCGAGGATGCGCGGCCTCTTGAAGGCGTGGCTTACGATTGTTAGGGTCCGAGGGTAGGTTAAGTAGAGGCGGCGGAAGAGGAGGACGGAGTGGAGGATGTTGTGGTAGGAGTCTAGAGCGAGGGTGTCGGTGTGGATGAGGGATGTTATGGGAGGTGATGATGATGAGGAGGGGGAGGGACAAGTAGGAGAGGAAGACGAGGGGGGAGGGAGGATGCCAAAGTAGGCGTTTGCGGCGGCGAGGTTGGCGTAGGATTCTGCTTCGGAGAGGCGTGTTTCTTTGCGTGTCGGGCCTCTTTGTAATCGAACGAGTCGTTAGTCTTGATACTTGGTAGTTTTCTTCATATCTACAAGACGTTGCTGCGGCAAAGAATAAACCAAAGATGCGTGGGAACGGCAAGTCACGAAATGATAACGAGCGTGAGCAATGACACTGCCAATACTCGAACAGGAACAAATCATTACTTTAAGGCAAGGTAGGTAATCGCTGGAGGTAGTACAAGGAAAGGTCGGGGTTTGGCTGCATCTATAGTTACGTACCCCGAAAACACGAGCGCGGAATCCGGGTACCCGTCCCGCAGCGCCGTCAGCCCGGCCTTGATGTGCTCGATAAACGTCGGGGTCTCGCCGGTCTGGAAGTCGGCGATGAGCCACTCGGACTCGGCGCGGCCGTTGGTGGGGCCGCCGGTCCAGATGCCGTGGCAGCAGACGACGATGAGGTTGGTTGGTGCTGCTGTTGATGTCATGGCTTCGATCCTTTTGCTGTGCTCCCCTTTTAGTAATATATCTCCTCGATATGTGTGATGGAAGGGTGCTGGTGTGTTTTGGGGATTGGGATTTGATGTGCATTAGATTGTGGATCATGTGATGTTGTGGCGGTGAAAGTTGAGACTTCCCGTCTCCATTGCATAGGTATCAAGGATTGCAAGGTATTAAATACTATTACCTTGTGCTATGAAGCCGTCGCCACTGTTGGCGTGTTATTACATGAAACTCTAAACGCATTGAAAATCCATGATGTACATTATACTCATGAGGTTGCGAATTCATAATTACTTTTGATATCCCGTGACTGCTCACGACAAGATTCTATATGCGTCACCAACCAGGTAGAGACTCCCCGTCAAGACAACCGGGCCATCTTTGGCGGTCTCAACAGCCCATCTCGTAGCCTCTTCGAGACCATCTTTGCTTTCAAACACCTCTTTGGCGCCCGCGTTCGAGGCCATCTCCCTCAAGGTCTGAAGCGGCAAAGGCTCGACCCAGGGCATCGTCTCCCGCCGAGAAAAGCTCACGCAGGCGACGTTGTCTCCGGGTCTGAGCAACGTGCGCAGCATACCGCCGGCATCCTTTCCGTCCTGCTTCGATACCGACACGATCCACGTCACAGGCCTATCGGCTTCTCGCAGACGTCGCTCGACGTATGTGGACAATGTCTCGGCTGACTGTGGGTTGTGAGCACCGTCGATGAGGATGGGCTTTTCCTTCCGCGACGGATGCTTCGCCTCGACATTTAACCACGATAGCCTCCCCAGGTGACTGACGTCCTTCAGAATCGGCAGGGCCTTTTCCACAGAAAGATTAAGGTGCGGGTAGGCGAGTTGGAAAGCCGCAATGGCGCACGCCATGTTCTGCGCCTGATGCGGCATTAGCTCCGAGTCGTACAGAGCCTCGAGCAGACCGGGCTGGCTCGTGGTGAGGTGCAGCGGCGCCGAGACGCTGGCGGCATGTTGCCGGAAGACCTCGAGGACCTCGGGCGGGTTGCTGCCGTCGACGACACACGGAACGCCGGCCATCATGATGCCGGCCTTTTCCTTGGCGATCTCGGGCAAGGTGTTGCCAAGGAAGGCCTGGTGGTCGAGGCCGATCTTTGTGATGACGGTGACGGTCTTGCGGCGGAGGGCGTTTGTGGAGTCGAGGCGGCCGCCGAGACCAACCTCGACGATGCCCATCTGCACATCAGCGCGGCTAAAGACGCCAAAGGCGATGAGGGTGGTCACCTCAAAGAGGCTGAGGGCTTCCTGGGCGGCATCCTGTGATAGGCGAGCCTGGTCGTCGGCGATGATCTTGCGGTTGACGTCGGCGTAGACGTCTTGGGCCACGGGCGTGCCATTGATCTTGATGGCGTCGCGCGGCTCTATTAGGTAAGGGGAGGTGAAGAGGCCGTTTGAGATGCCAAAAGATTTGCACAGGGCTGATAGGTACGTGCAAGTGGTGCCTTTGCCGTTTGTGCCGGCGACATGAATAGCATCCCATTTCTGGGGGACACCTTCGAGGGCCCGCGAGATGCGGTGCAGGCCTAGGCTGATGCCTTTCATTGCCATGATGTCTGTCCTTTACCCCAGCGAGGTCTTGGATTTGGTGGAACGGAAGATGACGGAGTGATGGCAGTATCCGGATGTTAAAGCCCGGAGGATCACCAACGGCCTATCCGTATCTCGGTTTCGGCTCTGGATCCGACGGACACTTTTCGCATAGGGCTATTCGGACTTCGTAGTCCGGCAACAGCTGGTTGTTGCTTTTCTAACCCCTCAGAAGTGAGTCACTGAAAGTCTGTGGGAATGATGGGTCTTTGATCATGAGAGTCGTGATAGGTGCCGAACGATGTCAGCGAATGAATATGACTGAGCATTCCAGATCTTCCATTTACACCTGATCCTGAAAGTTAACGGAGCGGCTGCCGTTAGGTGGGAGTAGGCACGCAGCGGGAACGAAGCTCAACCTAAGCAGGTGCGCCGGGCAGGGTTCCTGCTGGAACGGCAATGCCAGGAGTACGTACCTGAGCAGGAGCCAAGGCAGGTACGTACTCCGAATCGAAATGCATTGGATCCAATGGAAGTTGGCAAGTGCCGCTCCAGCCACACTTCAATTGGAGGCAGGCATGCAGATAATGGAAGGCAGAAGTGAGTGGCAGGCTCACCACGGACCAGTGACCATGAAATGGGAAGCCCCCGTGATTGGCCAAAGATGACTTGCTTGATGAAGCCGCGCCACAGGGGAAAGAGAAAGACGCAGACAGCCAGAACTCCGTGACTGCGACTGCGACCGGGGAGGTATGGCGTGGCCAGCCACTCACAAAAAAGAAGTAAAGCGGCTATTCCCCAAAGACCCGCGCTTTTCCAATTTTCCTTCCTGTTCCTTTTTTGCGTTTTTTAATTGTCCCGGAGCCTTTCTGCCTTTTACCCCCCTCCCGACTCCCGTCCTCGTCTCGCTCCATTTCCTTCTTGACCGTCAATTCACGTCCAGTCCCAGTGGCCCCGTCCCCGTCATTCACTGACCTGACCTAATACATACCCCAACCTAAGTCCAAAAGTCCCCGGGCAATCCTCGCTCCCGCCTTCCCGCCTATCCGCCCCACGAAGAAAAGCCATTTCCGCTTCGCGCAACTCGCCAATTCCATCGCGAATCCATCGCGAAACACGGTACCGCGGCCCCATCGTCCATCACTCTCATCACGACCACAATCGCATCAATCTTGCCATCTTGCGATCAAGTCGAAACTTTGCGCCACCGACCTATCGTCCCCGCTGCCTTTGAATTCATTCGTCGGGCGCGCGTCATTAGTCGGTCAAAATGGGCCTCCCGTAAGTTTCTCGCCTACCCCTGCGGCTTTCCTGGTCGCGCTGCATTGCCTTTGCCTTTGCGCCTGGCCTGTGGGACGCTGGCTCAATCTCGGCCTGCCCAGTCGCATCGCGTAATCGCAATCGCTTCCACTCCAATGCCTCCATCTATATCCATCTCGTTCATCATAAATCCTCCGCATACTCTCGTTTGCGATTCGTCAACTGCCTTCAAAGACTGCCTTAGCTACGTCGTCGTCGTCCCCGCCGCCGCCGCCGAGTTGCAATCCAGTCGCGGTGAACGCATACTGCTTCATACCCTGGCCTCGCATCCCATCACTAACATCGCATTTTCCCAACCGCAGATTGTTCATCGCTCCCGTCGAGTCAGATGTTCCCGCTCAAATCGGCGACAAGTCTGCAGCCACTCGACATCCTCGCTCTACCATTCGCCGCAGCCGCCGAAGCGACGACACGCGCCCCTTCCGCCGTCGCGCCGCTCTCCTCCGCGACAACTACCCCACTCCCGGCCCCGAGCCTATCCCGCGCGCCCGGTATCCATGGATCGAGTCTGGCCACCCTCCGCCTCCGGAGGCATATGTTGCGCCCCCCTCGCGATCGACACCTCCGGTGCCCGAGCGCCGCAATCCGGCTGCTGAAATCATCGAACGTGTAAACGAAGCACGCAATCGTCAAGCCGATAGCAATGAACCCAGTGAAGCTCGTCTGATTTCCATGTACGGCGATGAATGGGTATTGAACCGTATGCCCAGGCTCTCCAACGGGGTTACCGTCACACCCCCGACCGGGGAAGAGGATGCCAATTGGCAGGAACCAGACCGGGCCCAGCTTGAGGGCTCAACATCATACGCCAACTATAGAGAACGACGGAGGTTCCGTCGGGCGCAGCTCGATCGCATGTCAATGGTAGGCTTTGTCGGATTGTAACTTAGGATTACGCTGTTGACTAACATACCAAGTAGCCCGCCCCACCAGTTGCAGCACGCTTCGACCGCAGTCCCGAGCATGCAACTTCCGCCAGGTTTGCGGGACGTATGCGTAGACCGGACTTGGAATCGCAACCAGACCGCGCATCTTTATCGCGGCGGGTACGCCGAATTCGTCCTTTTGGGCACTTGATTGAGGCTTCTCTTGCAGACGGCCTTGGCGACCGTAACAGAAGCATCAGCCCTGATGAGGATGGCGTCTGGGACACACTGTTGACTACTCTTACGCCTGACCCGCAGCCTCCAAGCGCTGGGTCGTCTTTCGCCTCTGCTTCGGCGTCTGCGTCTGCTTCTGCATCGCAATCACAGAGCGCCGGCGCATCATCTCGCACGTCTGTAGACAGACCCGAAAGGGCTGAGGAGTCTACTGAGCAACCTTGCGAATCCGGACTTGAAAACTCGGATAGTGAGGGCCATGAAGACTTGCACATGGGAAGGGGCTGGCCCGATCACTGGACGATGAACTACCCGTCCAGACACCGGCGGTTTGTCGCCGACTTGGATGCGAATGATCCGAGCAGAATATCCTTTGTTCGGGGAGACGGGGCTATGAGGGCTATGAGTAGCCGCGATATCGAAGAGATGCGAAGTCGTCGGCGACTGGAGCTCGCTCGCCACTACAGGATCGCAACTCGTGATCCCACCCCGCTACCGGAGCTGCTCGACCACATTGTCAGAGATTCAAGCGAGGAGTCCCGCGATGCAGGCGGTCAAGGGGATGGCGACGGTGACGCAGGGCCCCCGAGCCGCACCGAATCGTCCAACGACAACGCGCTGGAGGGCATGCAGGAAATTGTACGGCATCTTGCGCGGCGGCAAGACATTCCCGACGAGTGGTGGGCAGGTGCCGGGCTTTCCCGGACTCTGCCTGAGGAATCTTGAAGAAGGCGGGACTATGCATGATTTTTTTTTCCACGTTTGAAACGAAAAAAGCGAAAAGCCTGGGAACTAGAAGAAGCTTCCCAAGGCATGATGTTTGGAGTACAAGGGGCTTATAAGGGGCTTATAGGATCTGCCATGGGCGGCGGTTAGGGTCACTGTTGGGTTTTCAACGGGCGCCATGCAGGTATCTGGGCGGGCCATCTGTATAATACGTGTATCGTGATGGAAGCGTGACGGGACAGGTCCAGATCCACAGGATCTATACTATTCTTGAGGCGAGAACCATCAAGACAAAATGGAGTGGCCGTTGGTCACATGTTCTTCCTGAAGAGTTCTTCTGTTTTGTTGATTGACGTGTCGTGGTATGCTTTGTAACATTGGACGTGAATACCGTAAGATGGAGGGGGGTTCAAGAAGTGATCTCCCCATGTCTCAGTCGAGAAAGTGAGACCGCGAGGGGTATGTTCATGTCTCTGCTGTTTTCTCTTTTCGGTCATCCGGCTGGTGGATCTACGGATCTACGGAGTATGGGAGTCTATTTATTTCTTAACTCCAGAGCGGGGAGAGGGTTTGGGGAGCTCAGGAATGTATTATGTGACCCAATATGGAAGACTCCGTGTTGTGTTATTTGGATGCTTGTTTGGGATAATATTGGCAGCGTGCTTGGGCAGTTGAGATGAGATGAGACGGGATGAGATTAGATCTTGGAGCATTAAAGGGAGACATTCCGTACGGATGACCAGTTCAAGGATGATGACGCAAATCAACTTTGGTAAGGATAGGATCATGAAAGAAAAAGAGTCGTGGTTCTTGGGATCTGGTGCAGACGTTCGCGGCTCGGCACGGGTTCACTGAGACTGGCCACTCACATGTCACGACGAAGGTGGCGGCGTGCCTTAGTGTGTTTTGTTCCCGCGCTGATCACCTTAACCTCAGCCCTTGGGTGTGTGTGTGTGGATGTATTGAGCGAGCGCGGTTAGTGTCATTCTTTTGTCCTTGTCTGGTAGGCGAGTTCTCATAAGCGCTTGGATGGGGCAGTATTCGTACGAATACCAAACGAGAAGAGTGTGTGATAATTAATACGGAGTAGATTCCACGAGAAATTTAGAAAAAACGACGTCAGGTAAGGTAAGGTAATGAGAGGGGGAGTTGGTGGCCCTGTCGCTGACATGGGGGAAGGTAGGGGTAGGTATCCGTATTACCGCAACGGGAATTGTTGATCTGTCTAGACGAGACACTGTCACGCCGTTACCACGGCGAAGAGCGGTTCTCACAAAACAATGCTGGTAGTCTGGGTTCGTGTATTTTACTGTTTATAGATTGTAAATCATCTGAAGGGGGGCTCAAGAATGCAAGGTATCTATCTCGTAGGCGCGTGCCATATCTGGGGAAGATCAGGCACTGGATAAAATGTTAGCTGTCTGTGTAAGACGTTGGCAAGACATGGAGCGCATTGACCATGGAGAACCAAGAAAACATGAAAGTTCAGAGTCAACAGCCGAGGAATTGAGCTAGGTCCACCTATGTTCATTACCTTATTATGTCGTTCATAAATGGCCAAGGCGAGGTGACGATGAGAGAGGAAGAAGGTTGAAGCTCAGGTCGGAACGTTCCTTTGGTTGTTTCCAGTTCAGGTCGGGTGCGTGTTAGCGCGCTGGCGGAGCCTTGGGGCGACGTGCGAGAGCTTCTAGCGTTGCTAGCGCGAGAAGTTGGAATGGAAGCGTGCCGGACTGCCCAGGGCAAGACTCTTGAGGTGTCCCACCTTCCAAGGGCCCCCGCCTGCTCCTCAGCACCGATGGCACCTGGGCTCAAATTGTGGACAAGGGCCAGCTGGGAAGTATGTAATCCCAGAGGCAGCCAAGACATGCCATCACACTGCATCGATCTGCTTTTCCCGGGGATTGGTGATTGTGATAATACCGTAAGTAATGGCGAGGTGGTGTTTGTGATAGTGACGGGACCTGGAGCCGTTAATCAGTTACCTTAAGGAACATTGTGCCTGAATGGATAGTGGTAAGATACCGGGTGCATCGCTGCCCTGCGGCTACCTGACCAGTGATAGCACACGCCCAGTGCCACTCCTACTGGACCTGGCCTGACCCGACCTGACGTTTCTACCATCCCTTCCCACACTTGTACAGCGAAGTGCCTTGGAGAGAGCCAAATGCGGTTGCGCGCGTCAGCACCAGCAAGTCGAATTTCTCCGGGCAGCTCTCATCTCGCTCTCCCGTCCCGTACCTTACCATTTGTTCTGGCCCAGGCGCCTGTACCTGATGTGTTTGTGTGCATGATGTGCGCGCGTTGTATGTGTAAAACTACCTAATCCTAGACTCACACATCACCTCTCACAAAATACATCATTTCCCCCAAAAGCTCCAGCTTCAGCTCAGAAAGTGCTGTGCTGACATTTGTCTCGTGTGGTTTTTTCCCCCCTCCTTCCCTTCCATTTGTCTGTTGATGTCCACATCGTCCCTCCCACACCCCGGGAACCCCTCCGACATCATATCTGCCAGACCAACCCACCACCCACCCGACGACTTCGCCGCCCGCCCGCCGCCCAATTCCCCGTCCGCTCATTTACTCGACCTTTGCACCCCAAACCCCTCCACCGCTCCCGACCGGCAGACCGACCGCCTCTGACCCCATCGACCGGCTGTCGTTGACGACTGCAGCGACGACGACGACGACGACGACGTGGAAATCCGACAGCAGACGGCAAACCGAATTCCTTTGCCCCTCTGCCTGCCCTACCGAATCGCGGAGCGGAGGCACTAGCTGGCTGGCCTTTGCAACCTCCAAGAGTAGCCTACGACACCCACGATTGTTTTCTTTGTGTGTTTTCGCTGCCGTCATTTCGCACCAGTCTGGGCCTCCCGCGTTTGGGGAAATCACTCCCACCAGTTGCGCGCCCGCCCTCACGTCACCACCGCCCTCGTTCGACTGGCTTTCTCTCTCTCCTCACCCGCCGCATGCCCACCGACATTTTTGTGGTCTAAACGACTATTCGACCGCAAGCGCCAAAGAAGAACGGAGCCCAAAGAACCGAGAATAACGTGCCCCGAACTGCATCCGACTGGCATGCCGTCCTGCTGCCGGGCAATGTGCAGCGCACCCTCACTTTTGCCGTAACCGCCGCTCGCTTGAGCTCACGATCGATCCTTTTGCTCGGCTTCCCTTCTTTCGAAAAGGCCAGGTCCTTCCTATACGGAGTCGCTTCTGCTTTGCGACGGTTCATGCCGACACCCTCGAAACCCCCGACTACGAGATATCAGCCTGGTGATTGCGCCAAGCTTCCCGTCCGCCGACCACCATGCCCAATCCCTCGCCGCCGTCGTCGGCCTCGTCCTCTGTCGAGCGTCAGTACCATGTAAACGGCAGAGCCGCCGTGGTTGCCTCCCGTGAGAGGAGTTCAGGAACACCGCGAAAGGAAAAACAGGGCCCAAGAGAGAGCTCCGCGCTGCAAGACCCGGGTTTGAAGGATTATGTGCGTATACCCGGCTCTGAGGACTCGTTCAAGAGTGAGAGAAGGGGAGATTGGGGCGAGGAGAAACTATGCTTGAAGGCCGCAAAAGCTGACCAGTTTCTCGATACAGCGTCTGGGAGAATGTCTCGGCAAGGGAGCCTTTGGATCCGTCTACAAGGCTTTCAATTGGGGAACGGGCGAGGCTGTTGCCGTCAAGCAGATTAAGCTCGCTGATCTGCCCAAGAGCGAGTTGCGCATGATTGAGGTATACTCTGCCCCTCACTCGCTTGCCTTGTTGGTGGGATGCCGAGACTGACCTTGTCCTACCTAGTCTGAAATCGATCTTTTGAAGAACTTGCATGTAGGTGCTTCCAACTCAAGAAACTATACAGGGTCCTTTGAGCTAACAGTGCTTGTAGCATGACAACATTGTCAAGTACATTGGCTTCGTCAAATCGGCAGACTGTCTCAACATCATTCTCGAGTAGGTCAAGCTCCGGTTTCTGACTTCATCCGATCATAGCTGATATGTTGGCTCAGGTACTGTGAAAATGGCTCTCTGCACTCAATATGCAAGTCATATGGCAAATTCCCCGAGAACTTGGTCGGCGTCTACACAACACAGGTTCTGCAAGGATTGCAATATCTTCACGATCAGGGTGTTATCCACCGAGACATCAAAGGTGCCAACATCCTCACCACCAAGGACGGCAAAGTCAAGCTCGCAGACTTTGGAGTTTCGACAAGCACACTCGCAGGCGGGCAAGACAAGGAAGCACAGGTCGTTGGTACCCCCTACTGGATGGCACCAGAAATCATTCAACTTTCCGGCGCCAGCCCTGCGTCTGATATCTGGAGTGTTGGCTGCACGGTCATTGAGTTGTTGCAGGGCAGGCCGCCGTACCATAACCTTGCGGCTATGCCCGCGCTTTTTGCCATTGTCAACGATGACCATCCGCCATTGCCTGAGGGCATTTCACCGGTTTGCGCCCCGTGCCCCCCCTATTCTACGCCTGGGGCACCTGTGACTAACACGACGTAGGCATCTCGCGACTTTTTGATGCAGTGCTTCCAGAAAGATCCGAACCTAAGAGTCACAGCGCGAAAACTTTTACGACACGCGTGGATCATCGGATGCCGAAGAAGCGATGCCCCCGTTTCCAAGGCGCCAGCTAATTTCAGTCAAGCCGTGGAGGAAGTGAAACAGTGGAATAAGGCTCTCAAGTCGTCCGAAAGCTCACTTAGGGCGTCCACCGGTTCCGACAGCGGGGTTCCCGGGATGCAAGGTCATCCCGGGTCGAGATACAGTGCCAACGAACCACTCCGACCGAGCCTGATCACTCAGCCCAAAGGTCCTCTGGCTCTCGCGAAACCGAGACGAACACCTGAAGCCTTCAGGTCTCCAGAGCTTGCTGGTAAGCATTCATTTTGGTGTGGTTTAAGTCCGATCGAAGACGGCATATTGACTTGCTCGTAGATGACGACAATTGGGACAACGACTTCGCGACGGCCATTTCACCGAGCGCACTGCACTTGCCTCATTTGAAGCCGCAGGACAACTTTGGCGGATTGCTCTCCGCAGATAAGCTAAAAGCATTCGCTTCGCTTACGGATGCTCGCAACGACTCGGAAAGTTACGATGACGACTTTGAAGGGGAACTGTTGACTATCAAGGGGCCGGGGCAATTTACAGATTTCGACTTCCAGGAACAGACAATTCGTCCGACACCTCGCAAGAAGAGCGACAAGTACCCAGAGCCGATGAAGCAGCAATCTCCGCCCAAGCCAAGTCCGCGAAAGGCTGGCCATACGAGAAACCCGTCTCGTCCTAAATCTCCTGTCAAGCCGCAGCTAGGCCCCAGCAAGTTTGAGATACCAGCTCCTCCAGATCTGGCCTTCAGAGAGCAGAACACAGAAGACTACTCGGATTTGTTCATGGAAAACGATTTCAACGATGGTGGACTTAACCCTTTTATCAAAAAGGTCGACTCTCCTCAACTATTCCACCCTTCAGATCTCACGAGCCTGCCTCGTTCGACACAATCGCCCGTTCCAGGAAGCTCGAGAAGGCCGCCTAGCGCGAAGCTGCGGCCCTCAGTTTTGCCAGATCGGCCCATGCGAAGGACGAGATCATCGATTGAGATTCAGAAATTTGCCGAGGACGAAGGCGACGAAGATTTCTCCGACATTTTCGGCCCAGAAGATGCAGTCACAGAGAGGGAGGAGAGTGACAGGGGCTCAGAAGATGGCGGCCTCATGGTGTTATCCAAGTATTCCAACAACTCATGGCTCGGAGACGACGAGGACGAGGATGACCCTTTTGCTTCAATGGACCCAGGGTGGGACGAAATGGATCTGGAAGCAAACATTGCCAGGGACAGACACGCCAGGCTGGCGGGAAAGGTGGAAGAGCTCGTGCGGTCTTTGAAAACCTCGGAAGGCGAGGAAAAGCTGTGCGAGCTATCTGAAGACTTGGTAGGTCCACTATGTCTGTGCCCTGAGAGGCGTCTTACTGACGTATGTAGCTCGCCCTGCTTTGGGAGAACACCGAGATCAAAGATCTCATCCTTAGTGCTCATGGCCTCTTGCCGATTTTGGAGCTTCTCGAGCCGTGTACAGTCAAGAGCAGGCAGCAGATGATTCTGTCTCTCTTGAAGGTCGTCAATACTGTACGTAGCTTCCCCCTTGTCGCGTAACTGGGCACCATGCTAATTCGTTGATAGATTATTTTGGACGATGTCGAGATTCAGGAAAACCTCTGCTTCGTCGGTGGCATTCCAATCATTACAAAATTCTCTGCCCGGCAATATTCCAACGAAATTAGACTCGAAGCAGCAGCGTTTGTTCGGCAAATGTACCAGACGTCCACGTTGACCTTGCAGATGTTCGTCAGCGCTGGTGGTTTGAATGTCCTAGTCGAGTTCCTCGACGAAGACTTTGACGATGCTAGGGATCTAGTCTTGATCGGCGTCAATGGCATCTGGAACGTCTTTGAGCTTCAGGGCCCCACGCCAAAGAACGACTTTTGCAGAATCTTTTCGAGAAGCAAGATTCTCTATCCTCTTGCTCTGGTACTCCACAGAGTCCTCGATGAGGAGGGAGAAGATGAGCTTTCCGAACTGATAGAGGGCCGAATTGTCAACATCTTTTACCTATTTTCTCAAGCTGAGAACTATGTCAAGGAGGTTGTCGCTGATCGGCAAGTGTTGAAGAGTAAGTCTTGTGTTAGATGAAGCGATGTCTCATTACTAACAGCTCCACAGGCGTTTTGAAGGATTTGCGACGAATGACACCAAATCATCAGATCACAATGCTGAAATTTATCAAAAACCTTTCCATGCTGTCTACGACGATAGAAACGCTGCACACAGCTGACGCCATTGAGTTTTTGATTGACGTTCTTGGCTATAGCATGAAGAGGGGACACCAGCATTTCCGAGAGATCTCCAATCAGGTCCTCAACACCCTGTTCAACCTCTGCCGTCTGAGTAAGGAGCGGCAGGAGGACGCTGCTGTTGGTGGCATCATTCCCTTGCTCATGAAGATCATGAACACAGATCGGCCACCAAAGGAGTTCGCGTTGCCCATACTATGCGACATGGCCCACTCGGGAAGCAAGGGTCGCAGATACCTCTGGCAGAATAAGGGGCTGGACTTTTACGTCTCGCTGTTGGCCGACCAATACTGGCAGGTTACGGCGCTGGATGCAATTTTTATATGGCTTCAGGAAGAAACGGCAAAGGTCGAGAGTCACTTGCTCGACGGCAAGTTTACAGACGCAATCGTTGCCTGTTTCCACACCAACAAGCTCAACTCTTTTGATGCCAACCTATTGGAGCCCCTATTGAAGCTCCTGCGCTTGAGCCCCTCGATATCAGGCTCACTGGCCAAGCCGGAGATGTTTGCCGGCATCGGCCAGAGACTAGGCCACAAAAAGGCCGTTGTGCGACTGAATTTACTACGTCTCGTCCGCAACATTATGGACGCATGCGAGCCGGAGATGCTGGGCATGGGCAACGGAAGCAGCTCCTTGAACGTCAAGCAAGTTAGGTCTCTGTTTGATACGATCCAAATGCTGGCCGACAAGGACACTGCTGTGCTGGTTCGCAACCTCGCGTCTGAACTTGTCAAGTCGCACAACGAGAGCGAACTTTATGATATGCCCTCGGAGAGAAAGGGCTCCTCTGGATCGGTAGCCTCCCGGCGCTCGGGGTCCGGACCCAGACGGAAATCATCATATACCCCGCCCGGACTTCACCATGCCATGTCGATGCCTGCCACACCGACGCAATCCCAGTCCCGCCATCATCGGCTTTCACAAATACCACCAGGGTCGGGAGGCGCGTATATTGAAGTGGCCGCGAGCCCGAGAAGGACCGCTGTTCAGGAGCGCGAGGCCATCTTGTACCGCCCCAGGAGCAGGGATGGTGCCACAAGCATTCCCAGGCGGGTCAGCGGCGAGATGTCGTCAAGCATGCCTACAGGGCCATCCTCGGGCAAGAGCAGGTTGCCTCGTCACTCGTTTGCAAGACCCAGCAGCGCATCTGGGCAACCCCCCTTAATCAGATCCGAGAGTTCTCTGTCGAATAAAGAGAACCTCAGCAGAAACACATCAGCCGTGTCAGCACCGGCTGCGTCACCTGTGCTACCGACGAGTATGGCCAACAAGCGGCGAAGCAGAGCTCCAAGTTCGGACGTCAAATGGTCATCATAGTAGGGGCCATAACATCTCAGCCATCACCGGGCTGTACATTCATTTTAGGCTTTTTTCTCTTTTCTTTTTCCTGTTTTGCATGTGCGGGTTGTCGGCTCGCAGGGCTTGGGCAAATGATACCTCGTGGGTATACACACGGCTGGCTGGGATGGGGAGAAGGAGGCATGATTTATAACGTTGCACACGTTTTTCTCTTTTCTGATACGAGATGAAGGCTGCTATGAGTCTTGGACGGGGGAAAGATGAAATGCAAAAAGGGGACCGCACTGAGATTCCTTGTGCAAACGTTGGCTTTGCGGTGGTAAAAAGTCCTCTAGGAGGGGAAAAGAATCTTTTGTCCTTTTTTGTTTGCAACTCGGATCATGAGAGGGAGCTTCAGTTTTGAGCTCCCTGCGATAGCGGATGGCATTAGAAACAAATTCATGGCAAGCAATTGCACCCCCATCTAACGGCTGCGGCCGACTATAGTTTCCTATGTCTGACTCCTTGATGCTGACGTTTCTGATCTCTCTTCTTACTTTCATGATGAGATGTCTCCCGTAGAAACCTGTCAAGCAAGCAACCAACCAACCGCTTCCCCCATCATCAGAAGACGTCAAGATGACCCGGAAAGAGAATTCCTCTTCTTGATACCACCTCCCCCCATCCTCAGACAAGCCACGCATCGCCGCCCAGAACCTCACTCCACACCTGTCCCTCGGCCCTCTCGAACCCCTTTGCGTCCTCCACGTCGGCGGCGCCAAAGTTGCGTCCGTACAGGTGCGGGAAGGCGGAGGGGAATTTGCCCGAGGGGGGGAACTCCCACTTCATTGAGCCTGAGGCGGCGAGGGGTGCGTAGGGGAGTTTGAGGAGGTATAAGCTTGTGGCGGATGAGAAGAAGAGGTTTGCTGTGTTGAGGACCTGGTGATGTTTCCAGTGTGAGATTTTTTTTGGTTTAGGTAGTTTGATTGAGTGTATATTAGGCAGGTGTGGAAAGTCGTGCTGTGTAATAGTGTGTGGTGGTGGGTGGTTATGCGTATATGTATGAGAGCGAAAAGGCGAGTGTGAGGGAAATCGAGAGCGGAGGGATGTGAGATGTAGACTCGAGAGGACAGTACATGGAGAGAAGAACGGAGATAGAGAGCAAAGGAACATGACCACGGAGAATCCGGGTATGAAGAGAAGGAGAGGAAGCAAGAGAGATCATTCGTACCTGTTCCGCCGTACTCAGATGAATAAAGCCATCGTTACGATCGAGGTCCGAGAGGGGGAACTCGGTCGGCAGCGGCGACGGCGGCGCCTCGGGGACGATTTTGTAAATGTATTGCGGGGTTTGCGCGGGTTCGGCCATATTTGCAATCTTGACGGGAGGTCCGATATAAAAATCTGAAGGTGGGTGCTGGAAGTGTATGTCTACTGGAATGCCGATGCTGTGTGAGAGGAGACGAATGACTTGTGAGTGGTTTGTGTGCAAACTGCTTATTTCATCATCCCACCTACTAAGGTAAGGTAAGAGTCGAAAAGCCTCTCCCCACTTTCCTCTTCTGGAAGACGTACAGGCTTCAGCTCCGACGGCTTACACCAAAGAAAGATGGAAACAACACACCTTTCTTCATCTCTCACACACATGTCACCAACGAGCGATCAAGACACCACCAAGATCGTCATCAATGGTTTTTTATTGTTACAGAGACCTCCCGGTCCGTGTTTCCTTATCTCATTGATCCCTTTCCACAGCTTTCCCATACTCCGGGACGAAACCACGCCCCAAAGACAAAAAAACCGCCCCCCTCCACCCTTGGCCGCCCCGCCGCGCCCCCAAAGTTCCAACCCAACCTCCATCTCACACCTAGCTTGGATCACTAACTGTTGTAAAAAAAGACATCTACAAAATTTTGCAGATGACTAGTAAACTTTTGCTTTTTTCCCTTGTCTCTCTCCCCCTTCAATCCCACCAGAGATGCTGAAATACCGCTTCGAGTGTGTAGTCAAATTAGATTTGAGACAACCATAGCACCCCCAGCTGCATCCTCTCTATCTCTCTCTCACTCCCCTCTTCGACTTTTTCTGCTTTGTAGACTTCAAACTCTTGCTTGATATGGCTCAGTCTGCGCCTTTTGAAGCAGGTTCACCACCACCTTACGTGCTCATCCCCACGCGCGCCTATCGACGCGACGATTACTGTTGAATGTTGGGATCCCAGACTACCCTTTCGTCGGCTCAGACTCGCTGGTAGAATAGCAGGTAGGCAACCTTGTTGTCCTTGATGTTGTCCTTGGCCGGCTTTCCCTTGGACGCGGTGCCATTGCCGTTGGCCACGGCGCTCCACTTCTTCTCGCCGCCCTTATCACCGCCCTTCGCAGAGGTGGTGACCTCCTTCCAATCATCACCCTCGTCGTCGTCTGCCATGGCGCCGAACCGGTTGGTCGACGCGTCGCGCGACGCGGGACCTGATCGGCCCGTGTCCTTGGCATCCTCCTCCGCACCAGCCTCGGCCACGTCCTCACTGCGGACACGTCGGATGATCGTATCATCCAGGCGGATCCACTCATTTTCGTCTTGCCGTCGCACATCCACTGTGTAGTGACCGCCGTTGGCTTGCTTGCCGTGGTGGTAGACGACACCGATGAGCCTGTACTTGGGCATGCCGGCACCCTCGGAGACAAGAGCGTTGCGTCGTCGCTTCGAGAGAACTTCCGCGGGGAGCTGCAAGTCGAGAGGGTAACCGACCTTCTTGCCGATCTTGGTCGTTCCTTCAGTGTCGAACTTGAAGCGCTTCAGGTGAAGGATGAGAATCGGGGGCAAAGTCTCAATCAGAGTCTGCTTCGTCATGGGGGCAGCATCGCCCTGTAGCCTCTCGGGCACCGTTAGACCCTTTATCGCGTCGACAACGTTGTGAATGTACGGGGCGCCAATGTCCAACTGCAGGGACTGGAAAGGCTCCGTAGTCACCGAGTCCTTCACACCAGGACGGCGAAGCTCTGATCGATACTGTCCACTAAACAAACGAGTGATGGGCGTCGTCGAGCTGGCTCCGGACGAGCGCGTCTCAACTGCCCTTTGTCTCGATCCAACTTCAAACCACCCGTCCGCGCCGTCGTTCGACTCAACAACGCTGGCGGCGGAGGATGTAGGCCGGGTTTCAGCGGCCCCATTGGAAGAGCCACTCGTTGACATTACTTGGGCGCATTCTTCGTCGATGGCATTGAGAATCAAACCCAGGAACTCCTGAGCATCTTGCTGGTGTCCACGCTGTAGAAAAAGGTTAGCGACAAGTAAGGGAATGAGCCACAGAACGACATACTCTCATGCTAGCAAACGCCGGGAGAGGCTGGATGGCCTTGTACACAAACTCGGGAATGAACGAATCACCATATTGCTCCAGCTGCTCGCTCTTGAGCTTCCGGCGCAATTTCTCGACCGTTTCAGTCGAGTCGATGACCCGGAATTCCCTCATAAACATAATCATGGCATCTATGACGGGCGTGTCGCTCTTGAACTTGTGCACAGCCTTCTTGCTGACCTGATCCAAGAAGTTGTAGAATGGCGCACAGAAAAGAAGGACTTGCAAAACCTAGACTGGCGTTAGTGGATTTCTCCGCTTGTGGATTCAAGATACTGACTGAATTCATGTAGCACATATTGCCGGTATTGATCAGGCCTCTCGGCTCGATGAACTGAACCCTGGCAGCATTGCTAACCCGGAAGTCTTGGATGGCAGATGCCAGAGAGTTAGTGTTTCCTGCAGAAAAGGTGGGTGCGCTGCCGTTGACAGCACCATCGCCATTTGTGGTGGCACCGTTGGCCGCGGCCGGAGCAATAGGGCCATTAGCAGCGGGCTGCGCCTTGGGAGCAGCAGCGGCGGCGGCTGCGGAGAACAGTCCACTCCATGACTTCGGGCCCGCCTTGGCGGGAGCTGCCGGAGGAGCCTCGAGCTTCTCTTGCTCCGCGCCAGCAACTTCCGTGCCCTCTGTTGCTTCAGCAGGCTTCGCCTCTCGAGATGCAACTTGCTTGGGCTCTTCTGCGAGCTGGCTGACGCTTGTTGCCTTAGCCTCCTTGGGGCTGCTCTTTGGAAGAGCTGGAATGACTGGGACAACAGGAACGGCAGGGCGGGACGCCGAGGCGTTCGAGTTGCTTGTCGTGGGTCTGGCCTCAGACCCCGGTACATTCACCTTCGGGCTGCCCATGTTTGAGACGCTAGTCGCTGACCTGTCACTCTCCTTAGGAGTTTCAGACGCCAGGGAGTCTGCTCTCACGGTGGCACTCTCGGAGTCGGTGTCCTTGGAGTTCCAGAGCGCCACCTTCTTCGCATCGGCCTTCACTTGGAGGCTGTCCTCCGTGCCGCTTTTGGTGGCCGACTCGAGAGCGCCCTCGTGCTGCTCCACAGGCAGTGTCAGATTCTGAGCATTCGCGCTCATCAATCTTCTGCTTCGCCTTGACTTGGGAGCCCTTCTAGGGAACGGTGCTTGGTCGGGAGGTGTCCAAGGGAGCTTTCTTTGTTTAGCTACGAAGCCAACATGAATAGGATCTGCTGGACTTACTGGTGCGCGAAATTCCTTTACATCTTTGGGAAGCTCTGGGCTCTCGGGAGCAGGGGCAGAGGCAGGGGCTGGGGGCGCCGCGGCCGGGTGGAATGGCTCAGCGAAAGGCGTGACGACTGATGAAGACACGACCGAGGACACTACAGAAGGTGTGACGACTGAAGGCTCGGGCGTAGGTTCAACGTGCGGAGGCGGAGGAGGCGGCGGCGTCTGAACAGGGTTGACAGCAGGGACGGGAGGTGGGTGATACGGCGTTGAGAGAGCAGGCGACGGTTGCGAATACGGCTGAGGAACGCTCACGCCGGCCATGGGGACATATTGAGGTTGAGGCATGGCCTGTGGTGATCGCACGTAGGGCTGCTGTTGCTGATAGTGCATGTAGCCAGAGGGCATGCCTCCGTTCTGGTACTGATGCGGCAGCTGATGGTAATACGGCGTCGGCTGAGCGTAGGGGTTCATGTAGTTTGGATACATGGGCTGCTGCTGATACTGTTGATATTGCTGGTATTGCGCATACGTCGGCTGTTGCTGCATCCTCCGTCTGTTACCCCCTCCGGGACCACCACCCATATCGACACCTCCTCCTGGCCCTCCGCCCCCCGGCATGGCTTGCCCAGCCGGCAGATGACGATTGTTCATCCTGCCGGCTTGGGAGTCGTGTATTTGCAGTGATCGTCCACGGCTGGAACTATCACTGCCTTGAATCTGCGGCTTCCTTCAACACGGTTGTCGGCGCGTTCGCAATGGAGCGTCGACAGATTAGTCTGAGATCGGTTCGAGTATCGAATATTAGGTTGTTTGATCGTGTGGGATGCACGAGAAGGTAATATTTCCAATCACCTTCAGTCGTGCGTCGCTCTCGTAGGGGTTGCGGGGAATCGTTGGGAAGAAAATGGGCCCGACTAAAGTATTCCGAACGAGCAAAGGGGGGAGAAATAAAATGAACAAGTTGCTCGACACAGGTGATTAATCGCGCAGACACGGAGGGGCGAGCTGCGATGAAGGCAGCAACGGTGAAGGGTCGAGGATTGGGACGGGGCGACGGCTGCGAAGTTAGCTGTGCGGTTGCTTCCAATGGAGATGACAAAAAATTAAGCCGCGCGCGGGAGAGGTAGAACCGTAAACCTGGAGCTAGCGGGCAGCGGGCTCCGGGCTTTGTTGGCGCAATGCGATTGCCTGAGCCGAAGCCTCGCGCACAGATCACTATTCGATCATCGCAGGCTGGTATTGGGTCTCTTCTTCCGCAATTTGCCCGAAATCGGCCCCACTATAGCTGGCTGGGCCGGTGAACACACCTCAGACGCTTAGAGGTGAGCTCGGTGAGGCTGGAAAGCATTCACTCTTCCGTGTCCCGGCGGGACTCTAGCATATACGCGTTGCGGGTAATCCATAGCTCGAGTCTGCACAGCTCCCTTTTCAGCTTCTCATTGCTTCTTATTGGTATTGGAGCCTTGAATATCCCAGTCGCTCATCCCTCTGAAATGAACAATGCATGCTAGCTTAGCCTCGACGCTATTGTAAGTCTTGTTACGACGACTCAGTATACGCCCGGAACATGTACACCTGCTGGTTTAAACAAAATGCTCCTGTGCGCCTCGCTGAGGACCCATCATCGACAGCTGATTCACTCGTCCTTGAAGATCCAGCGTCCCCCTCCTCTCATTGCTTCCCGATATCGTTCTTGAATCATTTGCTTCTCCCTCTTCTCGCCTTCTGCCCTCTCAGCCTCGTCTTCCTGCGTAGTAGGGAAATCCGCGTTCCAGAAGCCCGGAGGAGATGCCCTTCGAGCGTAACGATGACGATGTTTGCCCAACTCGTTCGCGAGTTGCCATGTTTTAGCCTCTATCCACAAGTCTTCCCTCTCTGCCTTGGACATCCCCAGAATGATAGTGATTCTGTCACCGAGATAATCCTCAAACAATTTGGTGTCTGATGCCGGGGTACGATGGACATTGTTCTTTTGAGCCAAAGCCATGCCGCGAAATTGAGGGCCACAGCAGTTCATGTCTGTACAACCAGGCAAACAGGCTCTGTCTTCTCTGTTCCTGACCACCTCCGAGAATGCGTAGTCGGAACCGCCGTTGAACTTTGGATTGACCTTGAAATCTTCAAGCCGTAGGGAAGTGGCAGGCTTTGACCTTAATGCCCCCTTCTGGGGTAGCGACTGTGCCCCGACCGTCGCACGATTTCTGGGTTGCCCGCGGGCTGTGGCGGGCTCCGTGTTCTCCTCGTGCTCCCTCCGGCCGATTGGAGCTTCCGTCGACCTGTCCCGGCGTTCTTTATTGAATGGCAATTCCCGACGCTCGGGAAACTGTGGTCCATCCTCCACCGCTCGACCTGTATCCCGAATACGAGGTGTTGACCGTACTATGGCAGGGGCTTGTTCTGGAGATGGTGCGTTCAATAGCGTACTCAAGCGACCGGGAGGTTGCGGGGTGCGGAAAAGCCCCGCCGGCTCTTCGCGGCCCGTTTCATCATAAACAAAGCCGTCCTCAGCCAAGCTCCTTATGCCTTGAGCGAGCCCTTTCCTTTTTGGCTTCTCCACGGTGTTCAACTCATACGGGCGCACCGGACGAGCGTTAGGGTTGATCGGTGTCAGAACCGCTGTTGAGTTGGGTATCCTGGTAGTCGGAGTGTTGGTGTTGTCGTGCCTGACAAAGACGGGAGCGGCTGTCTGAGCTTGCTCCTTGTCAATTTGACCGGGCGTGGCCAGGGCATCAGCCCATAACCTATTCTTCCGTGGCGTGCTTAGTCTCTGACCGACCTCATCCAGGTCCATGCTCTCTTGTTGAAGCTGACTAGTAATAGGGCCAGTAGTAAGATTCGAGCTCTCAATCTTCACCCTACGTCGTCCTTGTTGTTCTGAGGAGGAATCGGCGTGCTTTCTCTTGCCTACAAGGCGCTCAGAGACGATAATAGGCCCGTCGGAGGAAGGCTCTGGTTTGATGCGAAAGTCTGAATCCGTTTTGGCGGTCTGTCTCAATGGTGGAAGAGTAACAGCATCGGCGTCCTTACTACCCTCTGTCGTCTCCCCCTCCGTGGTATCTGCGGCAGACAGATCCTGCGTCTCGACATCTGATTGCACGGGAGCTCTCTCGGCAGAATATTGTCGCAAAGCCCGCGAATTGCTGAGTGTCGTCAAGATCCCGGTATCAGGATCGATTGTCAACCTCGAAGCCAAGTGAGCGCGCGGCCTGCTTTGCTCTTGAAGGCCTTCTGCTGTGTACGCAGCCGCATAGGCGTCACCATCACGTTGCTCCAAGACTTTGATCTTCGTCTCCAATTCTGTCGCATAGTCTTCCCATTTCTTGATCTCCTCCTTCCTCTCGTCCCTTCTCTTATTGAATTCTGCTTTAAGTATCCTGAAATTCTGGTCCAGGGCAGTGTATTTCCGTCGCAGCTTGTGGCTTTCCCGCAGCACGTTCTCTAGGTCGCCTCCATTCTCAGGACCATCTGCAGAGGCGGGGTCTGTGTTGGTGGCTTGGTCGTTGGTGACATAACTCGGCCGAGGGCTTCCTCGAGATGACTCGACAGAGCGATTTTGGTGATGAATTTGGAGGAGTTTCGTCCTCAGCTTCCGGTTTTCCTCTTCCAAGCGATCAACCTCGTCGGACCGAGACTTCAATATTTCGAGCTCATCTGTGAGGAATGCGCGGGATCGATCGTCCTCCTTAAGCCTCTGCTCGACCTCTGTTGAGAAGCTAGTATCACATTGTCATTACGTCAGGGCATCTGCGTGTACATACCGCTGTCAAGTTGCTTGCTAACTGTTTCACACAATGCTTCGAAGGCATCTTGGATAGCCGCCCGGCCTTCCGGCGACCAGTTTTCCATGATTTACAACGGCAGCTACCAGGACACCTTGAAGCCTGCTTGGGGTTGTGTGGACGTCAGTTAGGCTGAAGCTGGGTTTCACGTGGGTGCGCGGTACGCCAAACTACCTAAGACGCGCCTTCCCTGAAGCGCGCCGTGCCAAGACATTTCCAGATCGATCTACCCGCCACAAAATGATCCGTGCGTCTGTGGCTGAATTCCCCACCAGCCACTTCTCAACTTACAGAGCTCCTGCTTCAGCCACCTAACATCAACATGCTCTCCTCTAATATCAACTTATGCAGACTTCCTCAACGAGGATTTCTGGATCTCACATTCGAACTTTACGTTATCATACAATCTTTTCAAATTGAAAATGCCCTATTTGCTACTCCTCATTGATTCGCAGTTCCCGGTACCGGGGTGACCCAAGCACAAAGGCCGGCGGTCTGATTCCTTGCACAAACCTTGCGATGGAGACTGACTGCATCGGAGCCACTTCCGCAGTGAGAATACCTTGGGCGGGGCGCAGGAGGAAAATGCAGAGCAACATGCCTTCGAGGCTTCGATCAATTGGTACGGCTGGAATGGCTCGTGATACGGGTACTGGTGGGCCTGCACGGCTACTCCGATATATCTACTTATGAACGTTTCAAAGCTACTAAGATTGAAGACACGCTCTGGTCAGTGGGCCCCCGAAATTCCCCACGGGCTACGGTCGTCCGGCCCGGCAGCTCTTCAACGGTCACCGACCCTAGCGAATGATCGTCGTGGGAGACTGCGACATGGGTTGATTCGTCGACCACACAGCTGTCTTGTCTCTGACTCTGCAAGAGCTCGGTTGAGGCTCGAATTGGCAATGCCGGGCTTCACATATATCTCGCCCCTCGACCATGCATACCCGCGGGAACACCGGATCACGGATAAATCTGATGACCACAAAGCGCCACGTTTGCAATACCTGACTAGAGGGAAACCGACTTATCACAGATGAGGCTAAAGGTACCGCCATCTGCTGTTGAAAGCATATGCGGAAGCTTGGAGATATCTGGTGCTCAAGCTGACTATCGCATTGTGCTTACTTAGGATGGACGAGAATTGCTCTCGGCACCATATGCGCAACTCAGAGCCAAGCTTTGAGAAGCATATTGCACGTGGTCAGCGACTCTTCCTGCATGGCCTGGTGAAGGTGCTCGGTGTTCCGTTGCTGACAGAAGCGGCAAATACTTTCCAGTAGCCCACAAGATCTTTCACATCCGATGCCTGTTTGGCTACAGCAATCAGCGGGACTCGCAACGCTTGTCGATGCCACGTCTCCGCTCGAGAGATATGTGGCAGACAATCTAGCGGACAAATGCCGGTATCCATGAGCAGGCCCCATTGCTGGTCTCCGCGCCGCCCCTATGACTTACGGGCTCTCCTGCATATCACTGCGGTGGTTTGTGGTTACATGCCGTTCTAGCGTCTTGGGTCGCAGGTGCGGCCTCGAAGAGGCCAGTGGTCCGGTAGAGACTCCACACAAGTCGCATTCGAAAATGCTTCACATTTGCAGAGATGCAATGGCGCCGTCATGTTTTCCCGGCGTCCGCCCATGAAGCTGTTTCGGGAAGGTCGCGACCATCGCCGCTTCATTTCTCGGGTGACAAGCCTGCGGACTATGCGCCTGGAGCCCACGAGGTCCGCGAGGAAGCCCGTCTGCTGCGTTGCAGCGGTTGGACACAAACCGCAGTTAACGATACCTAGCTTGCAGCTGCAGCAGACATGCATTTAGTTGCACAGTGCACCCAATTCGTTGCGCGTTTGTTGCGTAATGGCTGGCTAAGCGAGAGAACATTCGATGGAATATCGTTGCCAACCAACAATTGCGGCGACAACGAGCACAAGCGAAGACCATCGAATTGAACGACGTGCGGAAGACCAGCAGGCCAGGGCAAGTTTCTTGGCAGTTGTGCAAGCGTCGCGGATAAGGGAAGGGTTGCCGGCGAAGCAAAGTACGAAGCGAAGTGGCCGTCGGTTGAAATGGGTGACCGGGTTCATCCGGTCTACATGATTTCACAGGCCCGGGCGAAAAGCTTACCACCAACCTGAAAGGGAAGACTGGCCGAGATTGAACGCGGCAGATCTGACCGGACCGGAGGTGCATCTCGATGGAACGAACCAATCCTCTACTCTGGTTCGCCTGGATGAGCATGGCTAAATGCGTTTCCGAAACTCGAAAGTGAAATGAAACTCGTGGGATTTGTGCGTTTATTCCTCCAGTGAGATATCACGAAAAGGAGTTTGGGGTGAGGAGGATGTTGAAAAGGAGGTTGAAAAGCACGGAGCCGATGATCTAGGCTTTTTTGTCATTTTGGTCTTCTCTCTTTCGTGAATGGGGTTTGCCTTTTGATGAGGGGGACGCTGTCGATCTGGAGGGGCCGTCCAAGCCTCGGTTCGGTTTAAACCTACTTTGATGGCATCTCCGACAGGGCTGTTTATCAGCTTGCGTACCTGTGCCCTTGGGTAGCAGGTGGGCTGAACGTCCAAGGTAGATGACTCTTGAGTTGAATGAAAGTGTGACGACTAGACACCATGACACGGGAAGCTTTCTGAGAGCCATCCTCGAGTGTCGGTGTTCCGCCAATGATCTGCAGCAGGTTCACGAGCTTCTCGAAGCTAAAGCCGGAGCTGGAGCTAGAACCAGCACAAACCACTGACACCAGCAGTGCGAAGGGACCACACTGAGGCATGTGTCATCCCACGGACGCACAACCATCTACAGCAACCACTTACCAGTGGTCAGGCCGGGATCGCGGGGTACGAAACTGAGGCATATGTAGCCGAGACTTCCTAACACAGGGTTAACAATACGCGGATTATGGGCATGCAAAGAGCGCTCGTACGGTGTAACCTCAGGTTGATTATTCAGACATTACATGGACAGCCAAAGCCCGCTGCCCAGGACGCCCGACGGCTGCTAGAGACAAAACTCACCAGCGACCATCCCTCATTCAAGCGCAAGCAAGGCTGACCTTGCCTGATTGTCGACACAGTGTGAGCCAGTATATCCGCGATTCCGCAGTGTACGAGATTCACCCCTCTTTCATTCTCATCCGTCCAGGCTGCATAAGAGGGGCAGCAACTGTGGCAGTCTGGCAGAGGATTGTGAGACGAGAGACTTATCAGAGCCCACTCATCGGGTGAGGTGGGAGCGTAATGAGTGAGAGACCACTGAGATGAGCAGCATGAGCATGAGAGGAGCGTGTGATGAGGGGCTGCTCAGGATAGGACAGGGAGAGATGCAAGGGACGGGAGCACAGTGGCACGAAGTCAAGGATTTCCGACCCCTCGTAGGGATGGAAGGGGTTTAGCGAGGTTTGGGGCATCGCATTTCACAGTGCCTTGGGGCCTTGGGTAACTTTGGGGCCAGGCCTGGCCTGCCACTTTGGCCTGCCAGTGCTGCCATTTGACCTGCCTCTCGGCGATTTTTAGAATCTTACACAGGGGTACCCCACCTGCCTGCCTTCGACATGCTGAATTTTTCTGATTGGTATTTTTGTTTTCCCCATGGCAGAAAAAAAAGTGTCGAAAAAAATGGAGGGGCAAAAATGAAATACGGACTGCGCGAGGACAGCGACCGGATGGTGGGGAGGAGGGGGTCTCATGAGCAACTCTACTACGTAGACTCTAGCAGTCCACTTCATTCGATCGACTGGAGTGAAAGAAAAGACACCTTACTCTTACCGTGACCAACCCGGTCTAGAGCATCGACGATGTGAAATTGAATTTGTAGAGTCGCCTGCCTTTGAGTTCGCCGTCCCTGGAGTTTGTGAAGAGAAGGGCTCGAACGAAGCGCTTCCATTGCCCCCGACGGCTTATTCTTCGTTCCCCTTCCCCCCACCATCAGAAATGTTAAAGTTTGGTGTCCCGTCCTGTCCGGCCTTATTGGAAGGTTCTTTAGGCTATCAGAAACCCGAGCTTCAAGTATCTTCATCTCAACTTTTTGAACCTTCATCGTCATAGAAGGGGGGCACCCAGGTCTCTAGGGAATTCTGACTACCTACGTAATGCGGTGTGAATATGGCCATGACCGTAGTAGCCCTTAATGGCAAGCCCAGTCCGGGTCGGTTCCCGACGCTGCATTTGTGAGGCAAACTAGCTGCCGCCCCTTTTGGCTGGCCTGATTCTGCCCAAGGAGTTCCAACTGTGTGATTGTGCCCTGCCGGTACCTATCTGAAGCTGACAGACAGCACAATCTCATCTTCGGCTATGGGAAAAAGGCGCCGGCGCATTTCGGGCATTGATGGCCAGGTTATGAGAGCTGTGGGCTGTAGCTAGGCACAGGCATATGAGGCAAGGCAGGCCGGCCACGATCAGAGATACGTATGAGGGGAACGGGAGATGAACAGGCACCTTATTGGAGTGCTCGACAAACGTAGGCAAGTACCTATGTCACAACCATATCGAACTGGCCATTGTCTAGATGTACCTGTTGTAAGACTGAGGAGTAAGCCTGTCAGATCTATAACGACTTTATGACAACATCAAGGGCGTTCACCAGCTGAATAGTATTACGGCAAGTGAGTATACTGAGAGAATCGAAGTGAGAGGTGAGGTGAGGTGAGCCAACCGTGTCAATCTCCGTCACACACACATACTACTCCGTACACACGCTCATCTTTCATGGACAGTCCCGTCACCAAGTTGCAATCAAACACAAATGCCGCCAGCCCGGTCCAAGCCAGAAAAGCCCAAGGAAAGGTCAGAAGGGGGCATCCAGAGTCTAGAGACGGGCTCTTCCCCTTATGAGAAGGGACTTGCCTATCTGATTGGTGCTCCGGCGCCTGCCCATCTACCAGATTTTCTTGGGCTCCACAAGGCGGTCTGACAATCCAAATTCGCTGCCTTTTCTTTTTTAACCTTGGCCACTCCCTGGCCGCAACGACCGCTTCCCTCCCCTTCTCTCCCACAACACAAAACCACCACCACCCATCGCAAACCTCGCAAAACCATTACGGAAAAAACACCCCTCCTTTTTTTTCTCTTTCGAGCAGAGATTTTGATCACGGCTCGATTATCCGCCCTTCATACGTGAGTATAGCCCTTTTCCTGACCGTCATCCGCGGGGAGAGGAGAGAGAGCCCCTCCATTCACCAATATGGGATATTATTCAACTCGACTGGGACCCCGTCATCGACATGAACAAAAAACCCCCCAGAGCTTGCCAGCTGCCAACCACAAATTCACCTCTTGCATCTGACGAAGGCGGCGCACACACACACGCACCTCCATCTCCAACTTCCCCACATCGCGCACCGCACACACACAACAGACAAGCGCACACACACAAGCACACACATGCCACTTGCCCCTCCCCACGTCAACCACATTGCGACAAGGCCGTCTTTCGCCTCCCAGCTCTTTTCCCCTTCTCACACGAAAAGCTTGAATCAATTCCTCCTCTCGACAATCTCAAATCATCTCATCGACTTTGCCGTTATTCTAACGCCTTTCTTCCAGTTCTAAACACCACCGTTACTACTCCTTACCAACCCACCATCAATCGCAATGGATTTCCAGGGATCTGCCGGCGCCCCCCAGGCTCGCACCTGCTTCACCTGTGAGTAGCCTTCCCAGCTTCGGCGCTTCCCCCGTCTCACCACTTTTT